AAATTAGCACCACATTCTGATTATAAACAGAATAACTAAAAATTCATTTTATATTTTTTCACTAAAAACAAATTTAAAATGGAAAACAAAAAGACCCTTCAATAAAAAAAATGTAAAAACTTTCTTTGAAACAATCCTTTGGAAAAGAAGAAATAATAACTTCAGAATTTCTAATGAAATATGCTGATAAACACACTATATTAAAGAATCTGAAAAAAAAAGAATCTGTAAAATATAATAAAAGCAGTGAAAAAAAAAGCTATGAAGAAAATTCATAGCTTAAGTACTTTTATTAATAAAATGGAAGAACAACAATTATATCCCCAACCAAGAAAAGTAGAAAAAGTACAATAAACCTAAATAAAATAGAACAAAGGGGGTTCCTGTCAAGAGGGCAGTGTAGGTAAATGCGATATTCGGCCTCCTCCCACAAACACATCAAAATTACAACTAAGCTACAAAACAACCATTATTCAGAACCACCTGAAATCTAGCTGAAGGGAAGTCCTAGAACTAGGGAACTGAAGAAGCCACAAGGAGACTGGTCAGAGGAGTGGAGACGCAGAACCAAGTGGCCCGATACAGGTGGTGGTTAAAAATCACCTGGCCCCGCCCTAACTGGTTTGGCCCAGTGGATAGAGCCTCGGCCTTCGGACTGAAGGGTCCCAGGTTCGATTCTGGTCAAGGGCATGTACCTGGGTTGCGGGCGCATCCCCAGTGGGGGGTGTGCAGGAGGCAGCTGGTCGATGTTTCACTCTCTTCGATGTTTCTAATTCTCTATCCCTCTCTCTTCCTCTCTGTAAAAAATCAATAAAATATATTTTTTTAAAAAAATCACCTGGCCCCACCCACGCCATTACCTGTGGCTTTTCCATGCAAACAGCCTGTCTTGACTCTTGCACAGACCTTCCTACGATCTCTCAAAGTTCACAAACAAGCAGCAGCATCTGGCCTCGGCACGCCCCGTATCTCTTGCTAAGTGGCCCCGGCCCAGCAAGAGCAGCAGCCGGCTTAGATTCACAGCTTGGCCTCTTGTGGGCACCTCCACGCCCGGCAAAAGCACAGCCATCTGCAGATCACTGGAGCTCATATCTGGGTGGCCCCTGGCAGGGGACAGGTGGCAGCTGACCGTGGCTTGCACCTCCTGGGAGGTCCCAGAGCCAGCATGCCTGGTGGGCAGCTTCAGACCGCACCGAAGCACCATCTTAGTGCAGGTGGGTGGCGTTGGCCCCAGCGCAGCTGATCCTCTGCTGTAATCACTACCAGTCCTCACAGCCGATTGGCCTGGGGGTAAAGCCCTTCCACTGACAGCAATCGAGGCTCAACTACAACAGGAGGGTGCACACAGTCCACCTTAGGGGTGCACATGAAGCACCCAGCTCAGGTGATCAGGGAGGCTGGGTCACTGGGCCCCACTGGCCATTTACTACAGAAAGCCAGAGACTGGGAGACGTAGCAGCTCTACCCAATTCACGGAAACAAACACAGGGAGGCAGCCATAATGAGGAGACAAAGAAACATGTCCCAAATAAAAGAACAGAACAAAACTCCAGAAAAAGAAATACACAAAATAAAGACAATTACCAAATGCAGAGCTCAAAACACTGGTTATAAGGATGCTCAATGAAATCAGTGAGAACTTTAATAAAAAAAAAAGTAGGAACCATAAAAATGGAGACAGAAAACATTAAATAAAGTAAATGAGGCATGTCCCACAATAAATAATCTTCTTTCATTCACATTACATCAGCACTTTAAAGGTTTTCAGAGGGATTAAGTACGGCGGCAGAGTAAATTGATGCTGCCCAGACATAATCCCAGGTCGAAACTGGAATTACAACTAAATACAGAAAAACTTACTGAATGATCAACGAAGACTCGCTGGAGAGAATCTTGAGAATGGAGGACCAAAAGTGGAGACTGCATAGAGGCTGGTAGGAGGGGCGGAGGTGCGAAGGGCTGGCCGGGCGCCCACAGACGGCAGCTGAAGTTCCAGAGAGATATCTCAGCTGGGGGCTTGCCACAGAAAACTCTGGGTCTAATCCCCGAGCTGGACCCCCCAGCAGAGAGCACCAGAACTCAGAAGGGTACCCGTATAACATCTGGCTGTGAAAAGCAGCGGGTTAGCTGTCTGCCAGGGAGAGACGGCTGGAAATTCAGGCACCCTCTTACAGGGCCAATGCATAAAACCCCCTGTGGAGCCACCCATCTTGTGCTATGACAGAGGATCAGCGGAGTGGACTGGAGCTGTGTGAGCAGAGGCCAGGATGGAGGGCTCTGGGGTTAGAGCTCAAAAGGCAGACACCCCAGTTTCCTGTGCTGAGCCAGTCCCTCACGCTGCAGGTAATCTTTCCCCAGCAGACAATTGATATACAGGTGGTATTGCCTGGGGGGAAGACAGCTGACCCACCCTATTGAAAAAACACCTTGCCCCTTAAGAGACTGAGAATAACAATTAACCCCCAGGCAGAAACAATTACCCCATCCTGCTGACAAAAACTCTTGCCACACCTGTTGATGATTGCCTGAGAGCCTTTGAAGAGGAAGCCTATCAGTCTGCAGCCAGAGGTAGTCTTTGGAGGCTTTGAGTTGAAATAGCTTTTTGGGGGTGGGGGGGTCACAAATTGTCTTTCTATATGTAGCAATATACCATCTCTGGAAATCTAGGGATAGCACTGTCATATTTTTCAGAATTTAAAAATAGTCTTCTGTTAGTTTGTCAAATGAATACTACTTTGTACTTATACATTCCCTTATATTGAAACAAAACACAAAATAAAAAATCTTGTTCTCATGCCATCATGAAAAGTTTCTAGAACTAAGTAAGAATTAAATAACCATTAACAGATATGTTGATATGGTATTTTTTCCTATTAAAAATATGTCAGAAAATAAAATGGGGCTGACCTTAAGTGCCTTAAATGAGAGACAAATTGTTTTACTATAAATCTTGCATTTTCAATAAGATGCAGAAAAGCAGTAAGAAGAAAGTAGAAAATAAAAAATGCCCTTCAATGTACTCTAGTAGAAAAGAGCTAACACTACTCAGGACAAACAGAAAGATTAAATGCTCCTTTGCCAAATGTCTCCTTTAATTAAAATTTCTGTGAAAAATTAAGGGCCTTATAATCCCCTGAATTATTTTGTCAGATCTAGCTAGGCCTTTTTATGCCTCCTTAAGTATATAAGGCTTTTTATATCAAGCTTTTCTTATGAGACTAAAAATAAAAACTCATTTTGGTAATGGCGTTGTTCTGTGCATCACAACTTTTTAAACAAACTCAGAGAACTTTTTGGTACCAATCACTGTCCTAAGTGCTTTAAAATATTAATTTACTTAAAGAGTTTAAGAATCCTATGAGATAGATATTATTTATTATATATCTTCATTTTACAATTAGGGAAATTGTCCAAGATCACACAGTGATAAAGTTAGGGTTTGAACCCAGACCAATCTGGTTTTAGGGTCCATGCACTTAATGTCTCAGCTATGTTGCCTCCAACAGTTTCTTATACAGATGTTCAGGAAGAAAAAGCCCAGAAAATCTGAAATATAGAAAATTTAACCTGTTGAGACTGTAGCAAGGATCAGACTTCGTATGTTATACAAATTTGTTTTAGGACTTATTACAAGGTTCAAAGAATATGAAGGCACACATAATCTATCAAAGAAAAAAGGCAGTAAAAAGCCATCACAATATATAGTAAGAATGAAATAATGATGAAAATCATGGGGAAAATAAAAACTTTTCATTATATAATGATCATCGATAAATAAATGATTCAGCTACTGTGTGTAGACATTATGATGAAAATGTTTTAATAAACATTGTGATCTAGGAGATTCTGTGTTTAAGACATTGTAAAAACTACTAAGAGTTTTACTCTCAGATAGAACATAGACGGTCATAAAGGATTATTACTACAACAGGAAAACACAAGATACAGTGGTTACACTCTACCAGTGGTCGGCAAACTCAGTCAACAGAGCCAAGTATCAACAGTACAACGATTGAAATTTCTTTTGAGAGCCAAATTTTTTAAACTATATATGTAGGTACATTGTTATTAACTTAATAGGGTACTCCTAAGGCTTAGGAAGAGCCACACTCAAGGGGCCCCAGAGCCGCATGTGGCTCGCGAGCTGCAGTTTGCCTACCACGGCCGAGGCCAAGCATATCAAACTTGGCCCATGGGCCGCATGCCTCATTTATTTGGCCCATGTTAGCCTTTGAGTTTGACATGCTTGCTCAGTAGATACAAAGAAGTCTAACTAAACCAAATTCTAATTCTTCTATCAAAGATCTATATATACCGTTTTTATGGGACCAATCACCTATCCTGGGAATCTGTGGGTGGAAGAGCATGCCTGGCATAGGAAGGCAGATTTTGGTGGGATGAGAAAAGTACCCTGAAGCTTTTAATGACAATATGACTGGTATAATCGATTGTAAATAGAAGAACTCCAGATGTGAAAATAAATTGCATTCAACAATTCTCCCCCAGAGGAATTTTGGTAAAAGACAGAGGACAGACCTGAAAAGCAGAAAAATGTCTCATTGTTTTGTCCAGCACTTATGTTTTAGAACTTTTCTGGCATTACATCTAGAGATGAACTGAGCTTTCAGTTATTTGAAAGTATCAAGAACTTCCAGAAAAAGTTATTTTCACTGAATATTAAATATCGTAAAGTTAATTTCCACTGTTTCAGAAAAGAATACATGTTATATAGCTATAATATTAAATGCAATTCCAGAATAGCCCAGTCTTTTAAGCAGTATATTCATTAAAAATAGACAAAAACTCACTTTCTGATAACCCATTAAGAACCCTTGAAAGGGACCTATAGCAAGCTTATAGAAAGCTTAGCAAATACGATATTCCCCACTAGGGAAATCTTTGAACCAAAAAGAGCAGAAACCACAAGGAATGATAAATGCACAAATTTGTTTTTTCCAGAATTTAATATTTTTAAAAAGACGTAAAGTATAAAAATTATCAAAAAAAAATCTTAAAAGGTTTATTTTGGGGCTAAATGCTTGCACTGAAACTTTTTCTTATAATTGATTTAAGGTAAAAGGCAAAAATTATATTAAAAACACAGCAGCTACAGCTGTCCAATATAAAGTCCATCTGCAGAAAGGTAGGACAAAATGAGCTGACTGAGCAAATATTCACATCATGACGTCAGCAGCAAGTTTCAAATGGTTCCACTTCCCAAGGTCTAAAACAAGGATCATCTTGCATGTTTAGATTCTACTTCTTCAAGAATCCACTGAATTCCATTCAAAAAACCCTTTAGAGTTTCAGCCTCTGTATCCTGGACCTAGGAGCAAAGAAGAGAGGCCATTATCAGTAAGAAATTGAGTTCAACATCTTATGATGATGATGGACATTTTTTTAAAAATATACTTTTATTGATTTCAGAGAAGAAGGGAGAGGGAGAGAGAGAGAGAGAAACATCAATGATAAGAATCATTGATTGGGTGCCTTCTGCATGGCCTACACTGGGGATAAGCCAGCAACCTGGGCATGTGCCCTTGACCGAAATCAAACTTGGGACCCTTCAGTCCACAGGCCAACTAGGGCCGGACATTTTTCTAGACACCAAAAAAAGGACTAAAAATATCCCAATAAACTTTGGATGAGTCACTCAAGTATTGTCTCCTAGACAGCTTAGATAAAAATATGATCTCTTATATCTTTTAATTATTACCAATATAAGGCTTATTATTTATCCTTGGGGATAGGAAGATCTACCATTTCCATGACTTGTTTGTATGTATTAGAAAAATAATTCCCCCAAAAGACCCCCTTTGAAAACGAAAAGATTTTTGAATGAACCCAGCTTGTCAACTGATAAACGTGACATCTTGTTGCAAAAAAATGTCTTTCAGACTGCCACTTCTAGTGCTAAGTCAAACTCAGGAAGGTACACCTTTATTAGTAGCTTTCAAATTGTGTTCCAGTTTCCAGAGCTCCTTGGAAGGGTAAGGGGAGAAAAGAAGGAAGAAAATCCTCTAAATTCTTCAGCAAAAGCATTTCCAATATTAATTTTCCTTTATTTTACTTAGGGCAAGCATGTCGAACTCAAGGCTGGCGGGCCGCATGTTTCATTTAAATAAAGGAGGCATGCAGCCCGCTGGCCGCAAGTTTGACATGCTTGACTTAGGGGCTTTCATGTAAGGTTTCATTTGATGAAAAGATTCCATGATTAAAATAAAGTTTGGAGAGCTAGGAACTCTAAGATGGAATCTGTACTTCTGATGGCCCTTAAAGCATAATACACTAATGCTGGAAAAAACCATAGCATCTAAAAAAAAAAAAATCCCCAATTATTATTCATTGTACCCATGACGGGAGAGACAAGTAGAAACAAATGATCAGCTGAGACTATTGACACCAACTAAAATAACTCCCATCAATTAAGCTATTAAAACTGACTTTAGAATACTGCTCTGTTTCATTAAAGAGAATGAGTAGGAAAGAGTAAAATTAAAAAAAAAACAAAAACCTGAAAAATAAAGTAAGATGTTTCTCACCAGAGAAGAAATGGATCTTACCATCCACGGGTGGTTCAGATGATTCAGACCCAGCTCATGTGCCACATAAAAACAGGGCGTTCTTTTCACATTTGCCTGAGAAACACAAGATAAAACCAGCATCGGCCTTCCCGCAGATCCAAAGGCTGGGTCTGTCATCGCCATAATACGAGAAAATTCATCTTGCCATTCATGTCCTAAGGAATGAAGTCAAACTCTTAATTTGCATGACTTGCAATGATTTCTAAAATAATTAGATTAAAAACTAACAGAACAAGGAAACAAAAAAATTACCAGGACCCAAACATAACAAACTTCCTCTATTGCTTTGTTCATTTATTAGTATGTCATTAAGTAGCCTTGCAAGGACAGGTATTTAGGTGAAATCAGAGGGGAGGGGAATCATAGTACCATTCAGATGTCTCTATAGTTTAAAAGAAAAATACCTTAATATAGATATTTTCCTCTTACAAATTCTGTAGCTATAACTACCCTTTCTTTCAAAGTCCTGAATTTCAAAAATTTAAACATATAGTTGGGTCTAGCTTTTCTATGCAAACTAACAGTCTCTGCCTTTCACTGATGTATATAAATCACTGACATTTTGTGGTAGGCAAAATTTTAAAGTGATCCCCAATGACTCACACCCTTGTATAAACCCTTTCCCTTTGCTGGGAGGAACCTGCAAATATAATGGGATATCACTGTCATCATTGGGGTGTATTGTCCTATTAGGGACACCGTCCTCAGTGAGACTGACCTCAGCAGGTGAGTCCTTAAAAGGGATGAGATTCTTCTAACAAGAGAATGGTGAGCTGATAAACAGGTGTTCTTTTGAAACAGGTTGGAGGTGATTTGTTATATACCGATAGAAAACAAACATGGGACATTTAAATCTATCATATACCTCTTGGATTTTGACTTGTTCCACCTGCTCTTGGTTCCTTTGTCTCTCTTGTTCTTCTTTCTTTTGAACTGAGTTTTTTAAATGACTCCATTTTATCTTCACTACTGGCTTATTTAATTATACCTCTGTTACACTTTTTTTAGAGGTTTGCTCAAAGATTTACAATGTAATTCTTAACTTATAACTGTCTACCTTTAAATAGTATTATACAATTTCACTTATAGAAGAATATTACAACAATATATTTCCATTTCCTCCCTTCCATGCTGTTGTACTGTTAGTATATATTTTACTTAAAAATATCATATACCCACAATACATTGTTACTATTTCCCTTTACATAATTATAAGGAATTTAAAATTAGAAAAACATTTTTATATAGTTTTATTGTTTTCATCCGAGGGTTCTTGATTTCTTTTTGTAGATGCAATTTTCCATCTGGTATATTCTTCTGCCTAAAGAGATTCCTTTAATAGTTCCTCTAGTGCAAATCTGCTAATAATGAATTTTCACAGATTTTGTCTGAAAAGTCTTGATCTTGCCTCCATTTTTAAAACATTTCTTTGCTGGACATAAGGTTTCCTCCCCTTTGCAATACTCTACAGCAAGCGTGTCAAACTCAAAGGCTAACACAGGCCAAATAGATGAGGCATGTGGCCTGAGGGCTGCGAATTTGACATGCTTGCTGTACAGATTTCCCTTCAATGCCTTCTAGCTTGCAGCAATTCTGTCAGGGAGTCTTTGTCCTTACCTGTGGCCCTTTGTAAGTATCTTTCCTTCTGCTCTGTCTGCCTTCAAGATATTCTGTTTACCTTTGGTTTTCATCAATTTAGCTATGATATATCTAGATGTATTTTTCATTTATTAGGTTTACAGTTCTCTGGACATCTTGGATCTATGGCTTGTTGTCTTTCAGAAATGTTGAAATATAGGCCGTTATCTGTTCAAAATTTTCTTTTTCCTTGTTCTTACTCCCTTCATGTTTTCGTACTCCAATTACATACATATATGTTAGACCAGGGATTGACATATTACATTCCTGTCGATCTGTCTTTATAAATAAAATTATTTTGGAAAACAGCCATGTCCACTAATTTACAAATTGTCTCTGGCTATTTTTGCACTGTAACAGTACCGCTGAGTAACTATGAGAGATCATATGGCTCTTGTAACTAAAATATTTAATATCTAGCCTTTTAAGAAAAAGTTAACTCTCCTTTGATAGGTTCCCCCAGCTCTTGGATGCTCTGTTCCCCACTCCTTCTCTTTTTCCTCTTTGAGTTTTAATTTGGATTTCAACTGAGCTATCTTTCAGTGTTTTGAAGGTTTCATTTGCCAATAAGTCCATTGAAGAAACTATTCACCTGTTATCATATTTTCTATACGATCTGACTTTGCCAGAACCTCTCCCCAAAACTACTATTTCGGTTTCTTTTTTTACATATTTTTATTGATTTCAGAGAAGGAGAGGGAGAGAGAGATAGAAACATCAAGGATGAGAGAGAAACATCAATCAGCTGCCTCCTCCACATCCCCCACTGGGGAACTGCCCGCAACCCAGGTACACGCCCTCGACCGGAATCGAACCCGGGACCCCTCAGTCTGCAGGCCGACGCTCCATCCACTGAGCCAAACCGGCCTCGGCGCCATTTTACTCTTTAATAGCTTCTTACTCTCTGCTGAAAATCCCTATCTGTTCACACATATTGTCTACCTTTTCCACTAAATCCTTTAACATATTAATCATGTCCCTTTCTGAGAGTGACAACATCCAGGCCATCTACTGATTACTTATCTCTTGATAATGGGTCATTTCACTTTTATTTTTTGTGTGTGACTTATAAAATTTTAATTTACTGCTAGATGTTTTATATAGAGCCAGTAGAGACTGTAAAGACTGAGGTAAAGAGGATTTACTACTGAAAATAGACATGATTTTTTTGTTAGGCCATTAATGCAGGTCAAGTCCAACTAGTCAGTAGTTAAGATGGATTTGGCTTTTATTGTTATGATTAACTTTAGTGCACCATAAACTTTAAATTCTTTAAGGAATGGACTGCTGCTACCGTGTTCTGAGTGAGAACAATCTACACTAATAAAAGAGAAACATGGTAATTGGCGTACGACCACTACCCTTTTCATTGGCTAATCAGGGCAATATGCAAATTAACTGCCAACTGAGATGGCGGTTAACCGCCAACAAAGACGGCGGTTAATTTGCATATGTAGGCACAATGCAGGGAGGCGAAAGGGAAAGCAGGTTTTTTTTCCCCTGCCACTGCAGGTCCCCGCTGCCCGGGCCAGATGTCTAGGCCAGAGGCATTAGGCCTGGGCAGGGGCAGAGCAGGAGATCGCGGCGCTGCTGCCGCTGCGGGTCCCTGCTGCCTGGGCCGGACGCCTTGGCCAGGGGCGTTAGGCCTGGGCAGGGGCAGAGCCTGCAACCGCAGGGAGCTGGTGGTCCACTGCCCAGGGCTAATGCCTCTGCCAGTGGCGTTAGGCCTGGGCAGGGGCAGAGCAGGAGATCGCGGGGAGCTGGGGGTCCCCTGCCCCGGCCTGACACCTCTGCCAGAGGCCTCAGGCCTGGGCCAGGGGCCAATCTGGTGATCGGCGATCGGAGGGTGAAGAGGGTCAACTCCTCTGGCCGAGGCATCAGGCCTGGGCGGGGGGCGGACCCAGGAATCGGAGGGGGCTGGGGGTCCCCTGCCCCGGCCTGACACCTCTGCCAGAGGCCTCAGGCCTGGGCCAGGGGCCAATCTGGTGATCGGCGATCGGAGGGTGAAGAGGGTCAACTCCTCTGGCCGAGGCATCAGGCCTGGGCGGGGGGCGGACCCAGGAATCGGAGGGGGCTGGGGGTCCCCTGCCCCGGCCTGACACCTCTGCCAGAGGCCTCAGGCCTGGGCCAGGGGCCAATCTGGTGATCGGCGATCGGAGGGTGAAGAGGGTCAACTCCTCTGGCCGAGGCATCAGGCCTGGGCGGGGGGCGGACCCAGGAATCGGAGGGGGCTGGGAGTCCCCTGCCCAGGCCTGACGCCTCTAGCAGAGGGCCAATCCTGTGATTGGAGGGTGATGGGGGTCAACGCCTGAGGGCTCCCAGTATGTGAGAAGGGGCAGGGGGGGCTGAGGGACCCTCCCCCCGCCCCCCACCCACTGCACCAATTTCGTGCACCGGGCCCCTAGTATATTATATTATTTATATCCTTCCTTATTCACAGGGGTTTGAGGGAGAAATTACAACAATGACTTTGGCCCAAAAATATTTTGATTTCATACCTATATATCACTGTGAATGGCAATTATTCAGAATATATAGAGAATGTTCTCAACTAATCTACCTAATTAAAGTAAACATTTCACACCACACATTTCTGTGTCTGGGTAATTAAAACAAAGGTAAAAATTTTCAGTTATCTGAATAAATTATTTGAATAGGGCCAGAAGTAAAAAACACACAGCAATAACAAAAAGTGCAGAAGCATACAATAAATAGTATATAGTTATAGTTTTTTTAAATTTTGGTATGCATCAAAATTCTGTAAGTGCTTGTTAAAAACAAGGAAGCAAACAAATAAACAAACAAAACATCCCAGGACACAATCAAATCTATGAATCATAATAAACATGGTAGGAACCAGGCATTTTTTAACA